AACATGAAATAAATCCCCTTGGAGCACCTGCAGAGCGCCCAGAGCCAACAAGTAGCCTCCCTCGTTGGAACCTACCTGGAGCTGCTTGCAAGGCCTTCCGCGAAAGCAAACAAGAACCCTCTCCGCCAGGCTCTTCTCAGCGTTTAGACAGTTCAGGGGCCAGGGTTCGGGTCTATATACTTACTGGTGGTTCGTAGGAAAAAAGGGAATTTATTCTATGGGATTTTCTGGGGATTATATTACTGTATTCCCTACAAGCCACCAGTAAGTCTGGGGCTTGGAGTTCAAAGATCAAATTTTTTCGAGGTCAATTCTAGGGTTTGGGACTTGGGCTCAGGGCCTGGGAGTTGCCAGCCGCCCAAGAGCGGGGGCTTCAGTAAGTAGGTTAGCAAGGGGGATACTTATATGGCCTCTAGGGATCATACTCCAAGTACCGCAAGCACTCCTGTCTGCCTTTTTGCTTTGCTTTTTTGGGTAGCAGGTCTTTCTGCATTTTGGAGAGCGGAAGGAGCTTCAGTATAAGCAGCCTCCCTCGCAAGGGCAAGATCTGGCTTCGAAAAAGCTCAAGGAATATGAGGTAGTAAGGGGATATTAGCAACCCCAACCCCCCAACTTAGGCCCTGGATAACTATCATATGATAGTCATATGGTTCTACTTTTGGGGGTTGTGGTTGCAGAAGTCCTTTTACTAATTAGGGTCAGCTCCCAACCTGCAATCAGAGCCTCTCAACTGATAAGGGTTACCCGGCTACTGTAGCCTCCTTAAGGAACAATTTTGTAAACATTTTCATCATAGTATAAGCCTAAATTCTCGTTTTTAGTATTTGTCTAAGGAGACTACAGGCTACAGAAACAGGATATCGTAAACGTGCAGGATTCTATAGTGCCATTGAGGATACACCGCGACCCACGTTCGGACTGGACTCCTAGAGCCTCAGTTTCCTTCCCGTTGGAAGAAATCTTTATCCTGCTTGCCCCCCAATGAAAGAACTGGAATTATGTTCTGAAAGCCTATTATATTGTTGTATCCCTCCTAACGAACCACGGTTCGCTCACAATCTCACTGCTCTGAACCTTTTGGAGTTTGAGGTCAATCTCTGCTATCGCGGAATGAGCATAGAAATCCCGCGTAGGCTCGTTGTAGGTTGAGGGCAGTACTTTGACGGGTCTTTTGGGGTCTTCCACGCTAATTTGGGTGAGGGTTTGCAACTGATCTACTTCAGCCATTAAGATTGACGTCTCGCAGACTTCAGCACCAAGTTTCCCCTTTAGCTCTAAACCCCATAGTCCCCCTTAAGTAGATAGAATATGGCTTGGGGTATATTACAATAAGATCCCCATATACCACATATTCTATCTACTTAAGGGGGACTAAAAACCCACTCTCTTGACTTTTCAGGCCGGTCCTTGTGTGGATTCATATTCCATAGGGGGGCGTTTGCTGAGAGGTCTCACGTTCGCTGCGGTTTGGCGTGTAGAAACAGCGTTTTGATGAGGAACGCTATGATCTCAATGCTAAGAAAGAGTAGAGTCTATTTTTGGCTACTGGTACCGTATCTTATAAGAAGAGCCCCTAATGCACAATTACTGATCATAAATCACCAGCAAGCACAAGGGTCCGTCCGCCGAACCCCTGCACCATCGAGTTGAAGGCACATGCTTACTGTAGTGCCTCAGTACTGAACTCAGAAGCTTTTCGGGGTATATGGCACTAGCATTAATTGCGTACGGTCTGGGAACTCAGCAAAATGAAAGCATAAAACCAAAGTCCCCATCCTCCCCCACCATATCCAGCAGTGCTTTGAAGGCGCAGAATGTTTAGGATGCGCTTGGTAAACGGGAAACTCACTTCTCAAGCGTGTGGCTTGCCTTCCAGCCGTCAAAGAATTTGAGGACCCTGCTTTTGCGATGCAAAAGGATTTCGAAACATACAGAACGTCCAACCAAACCACCCACTATCCGGAGATACTATTGATGGCATCCTGAACCACCCTAAGCATTATCCCCGTAGTGGTCCCCCATATATCCCCGGAGCCCTACAGCCCCCAAACCCCCAAACCCATGCACCCAAAGCCACCTAAACACTAAACCACTGAACCTCTAAATCCCTTAGCTCCTTGCTGCCCCAAGAAAGCCTTAGGGAAGACCCCTAAGCCCCCTCCAGTCTCTGGCCGCAAGAAAGCATTGGGGAAGTCCGGAGAATCTTCCCAGGCTTTGGTCACACTTTCGGGACACACGAGGGTGTCCTCTGATAACGCGGTGCCCTGCCTTGCAGTGGTCAGGCATGGACAAAATCAGGGGTCCTATATGGATATACAACATAATGCAGAAACACATTGGGAAAAGAACGTGGAAATTGATTGGAAATCATAAAGAGGTCTATGGGGATCCCAGTTATGGGGTAGCCTTTTTGGGGTCCATATAATAAGGATCATAGTATATGGGGTTTTATTAGGATACCTTCATGAACCGAAGTTACCATATGGGGACTAAGGGGTTACGCAGTCTAGACTGCTTAGTGGTTGGAATAAGGGACAACCAAGTGGAAAAGACTGGGAATTCACTAAATGGAAGCTGGTATGAGAGAGGGATGTGGGATTTTTTAGATTTGGGGGGTCCCTTTCAAGGGGGTTACTACAGGGATATCAAAGGATATATCTGGGCCCGGAAAGAATCTACTTGAAGAGTGTTTAGGGAAGGTGTTGAGGGTTTCCAAATATTAGGAACGCTGTGGTTAGCCAGGACCTTAAAAACTTTATCCTTAGTGCGTGGGGGGTCCATCACCGACCCCTCCCAGGCCATCTGTCAGCAGCATAGTCTGACAATCATAGCAGAGAAACATGCCGAATCCTACCCGAACCATGCTAACCTATCAAGCCTATGGATGTAGAGAAAACATGTTCAGTTTTTGTGTCGATTATATACCCCCAACAAACACTTAAACATAATTACTTGAGAGAGGGTGCCAGGGCAGATAGAAAAGCTGAAGAAATGTTTGGCCTGTTGGCCCCGCATCCGAGATCTGGAACGGCATTGCCCAAGTGATGAAGGCTGGGACTTTTTTGTGAACCTTTGCGGTGTGTGGGTTTGCAGCCGCTTCCAACCCACAGCCTCACATTTCTCCTAGCAGCCGGTTGTCTGCTTGTGCATGCCGTGGTCACGCTTGTAATTCTTAGAGCCACAGCATCGGCAGGAGGCGCGTGCCAACATCGAAGATGCATCAGGCACGACTATGGTGTCGGCAGAGGAGGCGCGGAATCTGTTTGGATTGCTTCATACAAGCAAGCTTGCGGAGCCTGCCTGGATTTTTCCCAGCTCTAGAACCTGCAGAAGAGCAAGGTAAAACGAGCTTGCATGTTTAAGAAGATGTTACGCCCTGTGTGCCTCTCCTGTTGTGGACGGTCTAGGAGTCTAGAAGCTGCCGTGCTTACATGTTGCAAATTGCGAAGGCAGTTTAGCCGTCACTGTTCACTTGCCGCGGAAGCCGTTGGTTTGGCAGTTTTGGAGTTGTTAGGATTCAGTTCCCTGGCTTCCTTCACCATGGTGAAAGCCCTGAGCCTTGCGTGCCTGGGGGTGCTGGGCTTTGCTGGGGCCCACAAGCCCCGCACGGATATCCAGAAGGCATTCGACCAGTTCCTGAAGGATTTCAGCAAGGACTACGATGATGTGGAGAAGCAGGCCCGCTTTGGTGCCTTTGCGGACAATTATGAGTACATCCAGAGGGAGAATGCCAAAGGCCACTCCTACACGCTGGGTTTGAACGAATTCTCAGACATGACTCTGGATGAGTTCAAGATGAACAGGCTGGGGCTTCAGGTGCCGGACTCCATGTGGGGATCCCTTCCGAGCTTGGGCACGCACAAGGCGGGCAACGGCACGCTGCCCAGCTCCGTGGACTGGCGAAGCAAGGCCGTGACGCCGGTGAAGAATCAGCAGCAGTGCAGATCTTAGTGCCGCCTGCAACCACTTTGCAGGCCCCCGCAATGCGCTTTTGTACGAATTAGCAAGCTTGGGGATGCGTGTCAGCGTGCCCTTCAGCATTTGGCACAAAACTCTGCGTCCCAAGATTCACATCGGTTTCAGATTTTCTAAGTTCAAGAACACTCCTCACATTGTGCCGGTTGGATACTCTGAGGTTATGCCTGGAACAATGTTTACCGTTTGCACTAAAGTGTCCATATCCCAGACTCGAAGACTGCAGGACCCCATCGCCCCAGATTTGCCCAAATGACCCCGTATGGTTGAGATCCAGAATTTCGAAGTGTGTGCATAAGAAGTGATACGCGCAATTTCATGCACCAGTGATTGGCGCCTGCGAACAACAAATTAAAGCCAGGCAAATGCTTCCTGACACAGCGTCACACAATGGTTTTACTTCCCCATTGCGCCCGGTTCTCTATTCCCAAATTTCAAGCTTCCGGACTTGTACTTATACGGAGGAACTTCCTATCACAACGTCATACCGCTGACATGCTGGTCACCGTGACAAGGGAATACAATTTGCATTCGTGTTTTGCAGCTACGCTTTGAAAATCGGGGCAAAACAACCAACCACGTCCTGACAGAGCAATCATCCCACGTGCTGAGTCAACAAGCCTGAACTGTCCTGCTCCAGTGCAGAAACAAGCTACGCGGGTGAAGTAAACAGTCTCGTGCTTTGGGCTTCACAGCTGGAAGCTCCTCAGCAATTCTTTCTCGATTCTCCATGTCAACGGGGCTCAGACTACTTAATTGTCAAAGTGGGGGCAGAAGACGATGTGGCGTTTTTCATGCTTTTCGAAGGCTGCGTGCGAATGCGTCCGGAAATCGTATGCACGTTCCTGTTTGCCCCCCCCTTGTGTTTGCGTCCGCATTTGGGTTCAGTTCAAGGTGCGGATCTTGCTGGGCCTTCAGCACCACCGGAGCTTTGGAGGGCGCCTGGGCCATTGCCACTGGCAAGCTTGTGTCCCTCTCGGAGCAGCAGCCGGGACCCCAGCCTGGCTCAGAGGTGCCGCAGCACCCAAGGGATTACTAATTTGTGGGGAGAAGGTAGACGTAAAGGGACTGTTCTAGTGTAGGGATTACATAGAGGAATAGGGGTTATTCTTGTACGAATTACATATATATATATGTACACATATAGAGTAGAAAGGAAGAAGAACAGATACTACTACATTGTAGGGTTTAAAAACCTGACAACGTTTGCCAGAACCCGCTCTTAGGCTGGTGGACTGCTCCAAGAAGTTTGGCAACCAGGGCTGCAGTGGAGGCCTTATGGACAATGGCTTCAAGTACGAGGAGCAGGCCCCTGTGTGCACAGAGGACGGGCCGCCAGAGCTCATTCCATACCACAACACGCATACCAATATCTCTTGCCGTTGGGCTAGCCCCTCATTCGAAGGCGTTCATGTTCAGCCATGAGATGCATGTGAAATTCCTGAACAACGTTTGTTACTGCTTTCTGTTGATCCATCATGAGAACAAGTAGAAGAGCAGCTATCCTGCTCGAAATGTATCCGTCGCTCCGCACTTTGCTCTTTGCTTTCTCCCAACAACCCGTCATGAGTTGACCCAGCCAGGACAGCTACCCGTACGTTGCCAAGAACGGCATCTGTAAGGCCTCCGGTTGCACGGTCGGCATCCCCGCCCACGGCGTCACCGGCTACAAGGACGTCAAGGCCGATGATGAGCAGTCCCTGATGGATGCCGTCTCAAAGCAGCCCGTGTCCGTGGCCATCGAGGAAAGACAGCGTCTAAACATCTCCTCAGACAATACTTGATGGTTCCGGGGGGTGCTGTTGGGATTTGACGAGCTTTCATTGATATCATGTTCATCAGAAAACTTACTTGTGTTTGGCTCATACGGTATAGTACATTCTTAATGTACGTACAGGTGAGTCGCAACTAACAAGCCAAGACGTGAGCAGGCTGACCAGATGGCCTTCCAGCTGTACAAGGGTGGTGTCCTGAGCAAGACCTGTGGCACCAAACTCGACCACGGCGTGCTGGTCGTAGGCTACGGCACCGAGGATGGTACGGACTACTGGCTGGTCAAGTCTCTTGATTGCATTTAGCCGAGAGTGGTGTACTTGGGAGCCACACACAGACCGTGAACACATGCTGGCATGCAAAACGGTCATCTTGTCGTGTTGCAGCGACGCAACCTCCGTGTGTGCGTGTTTGTTTCAGGAACAGCTGGGGAGCCACTTGGGGTGAGCAGGGCTACGTGAAGCTGGAGCGTGGCAAGCCCGGACCCGGCGAGTGCGGCATCAAGAGCCAGGCGTCCTACCCCATCGTGTCCGGCAAGCCGGGTCCATCTCCCTCCCCGCCTTCTCCTCCTTCTCCTCCGTCCCCTCCCACTCCCAGCAAGAGCCATTACGAGAAGCCTCCCTGCCAAAGCGACGAGACCCAAGCTGAGGTGGAGGGTGCCGGCGGCAGCGTGTGCGCCCCCAAGTGCGACACGGGCTCTTGCCCAACGGACGTGCCAGAGGGCACCACCGCCAGGCCCATGTGCATCTTGCAGGACTCCAGCACCGGGGACAAGTACTGCGCCCTTGCCTGCATCTTGGGAGGCTGCCCTAGTGGCTCCAAGTGCGTGCACCTGTCCAGCCTGCTGGGCGTCTGCATCTACCCTGACTCTGAATCCAGCATGAAGCTTGGAGTTGCACCAGACACCAGCGAGATCACGGTCTGAGCTGAGATGCTGGTCCGGCCCGGCCATGCTCATTTACAGCTGAGCAGGGAGGGCATTCGTGCTGATTGAGTACAGTGCGCAGCTCTGCTCAGCCTAGCTTTTCTCGTGTTGTAGACAACGCCGGAGTTTTCTCCAAGTCGTGGTCCCGCTCAAGAGTCTTCTGCAACTTATCTCTTTTGTTGTGCTTGCAACGGACCTTCATTTTGAGAAAATCCGGTATAGGATTCAGCCAGGGATCCGCTGCGCGGAGCCCACAAAGTTTGAGCTGCCTCTGAGCCTCTGAGGCTCCACCCACAGAAGGACTAATAGTAGGAATTATAGTTTTATGCTGGGGTATATGAGCGAGTCCCCTCCTTATGCAAACTTCCATACTTTGGCCCCCGGTAGTTACGTGGGAGCCCCTCTGCGCCCTACCTTCAGGTCTCAAGTCTTAGCTCGATTGTCACGGTGAGGGTGCTTACACAATAATGTAAGCCATGGACTGCGAGGTGCTCGCATAGTAACTGTAATGTAAACCAGAGGCCAGGAATGATTAGACTGATGGCTCATCTTTGCGCATTCTGTGACAGGTATTGATCAAACGGCTAGACTAGACCATGACGCTGGTACAAAGCATGGTGTTGTTGAGCAAAAATTACTTTGGCAATGCTTTTCAAAACAGTGTCACCCTTCATGCACCCTCAAATAGGAGAATTCTTGTTACCGGGATCCCCAAACAGGGACCCTTGATCTTTGGAGAGTCCTATTCAGCGTTGCCTGGTTGAAGTTTCTAGCAAGACCCTTACGTTGTTTAGGTTGACTTGAGCCGATGCCCAAACCTTTTGAGGCCATCATACACCAGGACCCTCCTTGCACCTTCAGATAGGAATCTGATATGGCCCCTAGTAATGGATATTTAGGGTATATAGAGGATAGATTGAGGGTCCAGGCAGAAATTTGAACAAAAAGCCGAAAGCCATCAGCGTTCCGCTCCTTTCCCACTTGAATTTGGAGCGGCACAGTATGAAGGGAGTACTTGCAGAAAAGGCAGCCACTATGATGAGAAAGTCTGCCATAGATCCCCTAAAGAAGCATCTAAACCCTGAACCCCCTAAACCCCCTAACCTTCTAAACCCTCAAGCCCTTAACCCTAATCCGCCTAAGTACTAGTCCCCCTAAACCAGAAGCCCTACTTGGAGGGTCAGGGAGATTAAAGTCTACTTGTAATCCGTCAAAGCCATTAAACAACCCCAGTTATCCGCATTGTTAACCTACTTACTAACCCCTTGACCAAAAACCCTAAGCCCTAAACCCCGGACAACCTCAGCCCCTGCCAGGCGGAGGCCATGGTTTCCGTGGCACGACGCTGCCCACGTTCCTACGCCTTGTGCGTGTAGGATTTGTTGCTTAGGGATTTGTAGGTTTTATTATTAGTGCTATTACCATTGCTACGATTATGCAATTTACCATTTTTACCATGTTGATGACTATCATTCCTATCGTTCGTTATTACTATAATGAATAGGGTGCAGTGCTTGCGTGGTTTAGGGTTTAGGGGGTGTCTGTCTGGCCCTCCAGAAATCTCGCGAGTTTATGAGGTATGGTTTTTCCGGTTTGTGGGACTGCGCTACAGGATTGCTACGCATTGGCCACGCAAAAAAATGTTGTGTATACATACTGGGCTGCGTTTCATCTGGTGGTTATAGTAGGCAGAAGGGATCGCTGTTGTAGCCAATATACATATATATAGAGGATATTTGCATAACCTTCAAAAACATAGTAGTTTCCATTCTCTTGTTCCTTCCTTCCTTCTCTCCTAACCTCTCACTAAAGTTTTGCAATCTATGTGGTAGAAACCGTTCAAAACACCATTCCGGATTGGTTTGTCCCCTAAACCACATTTTGGGGGGCTGCGCATGCGAGCCGTAAGAGTTTTTTGCCCGTTTAGGGTTGAGCTTGGCTTGCTGTAGTGTTCCGGATTTAAGGTAGTGGGTTTTGCCTTACGTAGGCAGTATGTAGGGCCACAATATGCAGGAGTCAAAGAGGTTGCAACTTGCGTGCATATGCACAGAAGATATAGAATCTGCAGCTTACATCCAGACTCCCCGACACTATCCAGACTGTATGGCACCTAAAGCCTCAACCCTAAACCCTAACGCCGTTTGCCAACTTGTGTGTTCCTTCAGGAGCTGGAAGATGATAGTCCCCCTTCAGTAGATAGAATATGGGGTATATGTGGATCTTCTTCTAATATTCCCAAAGCCATGTTCTATCTACTTAAGGGGGACTATATGTAGGGTCTAGAGGACCAAGCTTGCGGAGGAATGTTCAGGGCTTGGGTCTTGTTGGGGTCATGAGGTCTTCAAGGAGAGAGGTGCAGGGATTTATTGGCAATTTTGGTTTCGACGTGAACCCCTACATATAGTAGTTCTCATGTTGTTTTCCGCTATACCTATATGAACCCTTGTATATACCCCATTATTTTATAGAATACCCATATATTCCCGAGAAGGAGGGACATGGCATTGTCCGCAGGAACTCCAATAGCTCCGCAGGAATCGAACATCATATGACCTATATAGTCTAAACTCCGAGTATCCCTCTTAATCAGGCCCATAATATTCCCCGATATAACTCCCCATATAATCCTCCTTTAGGAAGTTTAGGCTATAGCTCATATGCAAGGCCCTATACCTGAGGTTGTATGGGGGCTATTTAGGGGTTATGTAGGAATGTAGGGATAGTGGAAAAGGAAAATGGTAACTACTACATTATGATGGGGTTATATGTTGCATGGGGTCTGTAGGGCTCATAGGAGCCCAAATCATTACTAAGCTTGTGTGAAGGGGTGTGTTGGCCTCGTACTCCAATCTTCTGAACCCTCTTGTCGCTGAGGCTTTGTCGTCAACGCCTTCAATACGAAGATTGCTACACGACCTGGGGGTTTCCCAAAATTAGGTGTACCATTTTGGGGGCCCAATAATAAGGAATATAGTATTTTGGGGTCTATATTGGGGTCCCCTATCTTGGGAAACTACCACCTGTCTCAAGCAAGGGTTCAGCGAGGTATCTTCCTTCACTGATGCGGGCCATACGTTCTCCCGAAGAATCCGATTCCTCTGTATCTGAAGGTGCTTTAACACTGTTCTATAACCCCTATACGGGAGCTAGCTGTTACAAATTAGCAGCCTAAGCTCAGATGCCCGATAGTAAAGGTGCTGCTAAAGGAATGGAAAATACTGGGTCTGCCCTGATTCTGCAGCACAATGCGCAGATCCATGCCAGGAGGTGTATGAACTTATTGTTGGCGATTTTTGTGAGCCTCTTCAGAACCTGATGGCGCTCGATAACTCCTGCTGTGACGGTGTATCAAGCCTCGCTTCTTTCCACGACCTTCAGAACAACAAAAACATGAGAGCCCACTTGCGGCTCCAGTCTCAACCCGAATTAGTACTCGTAGCGCAAACAAGAGCCACAACTTCTAGTTCCTAAGACTAGATAGCAAGCTGCTCGGAACCCTTTTCAGGGTACCTTGGCGCTTAGGAAAACCTGCTTGAGGCAAATATTTTGTACCCTGGCCCTTCTCCGAACTACTACTGTATATCATCCATGCTTAGGCGCCAACTGGGGCTTTTGTAACGGGGCCCCAACATGGACAGCAGTGTGCTACAGGCATTCCCAAATAGGGGACCTTAGCTTTTGAAAGCCCTTCTATAGTCAACCGTCCACCTGTTGTATCCGCAGGGTGCGTAGGGGTGCCCGTGCTTCGAGAAATCTCCCACTTGAGCCCCGACAACAAAAGATAGCCGCATACATCATCTATATTCCTATAACACCCAACCTACGCCCCACAACTTCAACCTTAAAGCTTACAACCCAAATCGAACAGACCGCTTATTGAGGCTCCCTACTCGCCCAACTACCAACGCGTGGAGCAGGCGACCGCGCGGAGTCCAGAGCTCGGAACCACTTTCGGATCATATTACGGTCCTTAGGGTTTAGGGTTTGAGTTTTTAGGGTTTTTGCTTTTAAGGCTTCAGGGTTTAGGGTTTCAGGGTTTAGGGTTGTAGGGTTCAGGGATTTAGGGTTTAGGGTTTAGGGTTTAGGGCTTAAAGGAAATATTTATATAGGGGATCATGGTAGGGGTTATTCAGGGGGATACTAGGAGTTCAGACTATAGATCATACATGTCGGGTCCCATTGAAGGGGTTAAAGGGTCTCCTGTTATTTAGGATTCAGGATACAGAGATTTTACTTCAACAATGGAGAGTCAAACAGAAAGCAAACGAAACATGAAACGGACAGCAGGGTTGCGTAGTGATTCATGGGGATTTAGGGGTTGTAGGTAGCCAAGGTAAAGCCAGGCAATATCCCATAGTCTTTTATGACAATTTTGCATTAGTGTTCGTTAGGTTTGCCTTTTGGATGCTTACGTGTTTTCCCTTGTCTGTACGAATAGGCTCTAAACGCACGCAAAGTCTTGGAAAACTTGAGACACGGGGGTAGTTTGGGCGGACAGTGTGAGGCAGCAAGAAGAGTTTCAGGCTGTTAGAAGCGCAGCCATGTCCTTTGCTCGCGGTTTGAATGATTCTAACTGCTCGGAGAACCGAAGTAGAACTTGTTTTGGGTTTTGAGGCCGTTCAGGTTGAGGGTGAGGTGCATCTTGTAAAGAGAGTTGTACGGGCCTATGGGGTTCGAGGGCCTTTCAGTAGTCATTACAACATATTGTCATGGAATGCGCAATCGAGCACTTCAGCGAAAACAAGAACAGTCATGATTGTCAGAACAAACCCGTGCATTTGGCTACGAGCGTCAAGGGTGTGGGATTAGGGATCTCTTGGGGGTTGGGGTCTCAAGAATGCAACACATGGCCGCTGCAATGACAAGGATGGTGGTGTGACTTGCAGTATGACTAAGCTCGAGAAATAGAACTACTAAACCGTCATGCTGGTAACCCATCGATCCCAGCAAATCACGTTTTGCTCATGGGCCGAATCGCCTTCAAACTTCTTCGGTGGGGAAGAACTCATATGGATTAAACATGAAGCTGACAGGCAAGTTTCAGTGTAATTGCTCAGCCTGTGCAGTATTGCACCTGCCCCAACACTATAGACGAGTACTTGCCAACACTCAGCCCCAAAACATGTTGTCGGGCAGGCGCAAAAGCAATACTCCCCCCTGAAGCTAGTCACGACAGCATTTCTCGAATTGCGCCCTCTTTGTCGTGGACTCTGCAGTATAAGTAATATTGTCCTAAGGAGTGCCCTGCCCTGAAAACCGCAAACCCCAAAAGCTGACCCTGGAAGCCTTGATTATTCAACCTGCAACCCAAAAGCCGAGGACCCAACCTCTTTTTTTTTTTCATCAGCTTTATCAGACTTAGGAAAGCCCCAGAAATCCCAAACCTCAAACTCTGAACCCTACACCCTAAACTCCTAAAGCTCAAGCCCTAAATACCTGAAAAGCCAGGTGATGAGCTTGCAGTGGCATTTCTGTTGAAGGCGGTGGTGCGAGAGGCAAGTCCTGCAACTGGGTTTGGGGTTTGGGGGAGGCTCGCAGCTTGGCTATAGGGTGTAGGGTCTAGAGCTCTGGGGGGGTTTCGGAGGCGAAAAGAAAAATGCAAACGACACATTCTGTACAGATTCGGGTAGGGGTTGCAGGGTTTGATGTTTGGAGTTGCAGGGGTTGTGTTTTGAGGCTAGGGGCCTCAGGTTCGGAGTTCAGGTTGTAGGGCTTGCGGATTAAGGTTTGAGGTTCATGGACTAGAGTAGGTTAGAGTTTCAGGTTTTTGGACGTGCTTTCAGACTAGGTTTGTAGAGCTTTTTCATCCAAGTCCTAGCCTCTAAGCCCCTGAAAAAGAACCTATGCTGACGAATGAGAGCACTGGCAAAACAAGTCTCGAAGCCTTCATTGCATGCTCTGGGCAGGGGTCCCGGTGAGAGCCCAGTGATGACCCCCCCCAAGTTAAAACGGAACCTCAGTAGAGGCCCTATGAGAACTCATGTCCTGTTAGGGCATGGTGGCGGGCATGCTGGTTTCCATATTGTGTTGGAGGACGGTAATTTGATGCTCATTTCTGGGGGGTCGTCTTTTTGCCGAGGATTTTGTTTGCAGATGTGTCTTGGAAAAGGCCTCCTGAGCCATCATTTCCAGGGCCAAGCCCATGAAGGGATAGTTTTGTGATAGGAGCTATGTTCTAAATTCTTAAAGGGGGGCAAGAATAGGGGGAGCATTAAAGGGGTTATTAAGGGGGATACCAGGAGTTTAGACTCTAGCTCATATGTATCCACATATGAACAACTTGGGATGGAGGAAGTCTTGCACCCCGAAAAATTGATATAGCCGTTTTTCTGGGAATTACAGATGTTGCCGGATCCTAAGCGGTGTAACTCGAACCACTGAATCTGCAGCTTGGGTAGACACGTGGTTTCCCAATCGCGGTTACAGCCCACATGGATTCTCAAAGCACCCCGTTCGCACTCCCAATAGTCACACCCCATACTCCACTCTATGGAAGTCCAAAGAACCCAACGTATTGATAGACTTCCAGGCCCAAAGAAGGTATGATCCATAGACTTTGATCCCCTGAGACTGCAACAGGATAGCCTGGCCAAAATGTCGGACCTCTTTCACACGCGTTTCCCGGGCCTCGTTTGCACTGCCGCTTGCTGAAATTGCCGCATTTGTGGTGATGTAGGCCCCAAAAATGTTCCCAGCGTTTTTCAAGCACATTATTTGGTAGAGTTATACTCGTATTTATGCGCATGTCTATACGGAGGAATTCCAACGGGATAATGCTCCCAACCTTTCAGGCTTGTACGTCAGGGCACATCTGCACGGGGAATCAAGATACCGGTAGCGCGCCTCTTGGTAAAGCGGCTGGACCGTAACTTGAAAATGCACGCTGTAAACCGCCTTCCCTCAAGTAGAACCCAAAGGGTCCATATGGTCCATGTAATTGGGTATATAACATAATTAGCATGCTCACGGCCCAAAGGGGTTCCTATATATTTACTTTAGGGCCCAAGTAAAATCTATAGAAAAACATTGATCCTTTGAAGAAGTAGGGGCATCCAGTACGAACTGGCTCTGGTGAAGCTGAGCCGTGTTTGTCAGACACTTCCTACCGATCTCTCCCGCCAAGTTTGTTGCTGGGAACGTAACATACCTCAGAATCAACACATTTGGCTTCCCCAGACATCCACAGGGGGGACACCTACCCGATCCTAAACCACAAATTCACACATACCTTAATCCTCCCAAGTTCGGAACTCACGGCTGGGTTTGCACCTGAAGTGGTCTTCCGGGTCATGAAGTATAGAGGCCTGGAGAATTCGGAAATAATGAGCTCTTTATAATCTGCGTGGTAAACCTAGAATACGGTATCCCGAGACGCCATTCTGATGAATTCAGCCCCTAAGTTACTTCCTGAAACCGCATGTGGTCGGTCAACGGCGGCCTGTGCTTGGTCATTAACGTGTTTGGGCGCTTTGAGAGTCAGTGGGACCTAGTAAGTGTACTTGAACACCCTATAAACCAGATATATGAGAACCCCAGAGATCCCATAACTAAGCTACTTACCAAGCCACTACTGCAGTAGGCATTCCACTCCCACCCCAAGAATCCCTAAACCTCAACCCTAAATCCTAAGCCCTAAACCCTAAACCCTCATGATTTCAATTGAGAAGCACCAAGGTTACAGCCGGGGGCGCTGTTCAAGCTAGGAGGACAACAGCCTGGGTCTCAGCTGAAGTTTCATCTTTGCGCCCCTGTTGGGGAATTCCAATAAGGATTATGAGTGTCCTTAATTGGGGTTGATATTCCCCCCCCTCCCGCACCCGTCGCAGCATGATTTTCGGCGGGGTATGGGACAACTAGGACGGCACCCTCGCAAACTAACCTTACCCAAGATCTCGGAGCTTGTATTATTCCTGAACCTCTGGATTTTTACTTATGACCTTCATATCCATCCGTAGAACAATTTCTATTTGTACATTATGATCCCCTATAGCCCCGACAAGTGCCCTTCAAGCGCAAACTCCAAACTCCGCATCCCGAACCGCAGACATTCCAGATGGAGAATGGCCCCATTAAAGAACACACCCAGGCACGCAGTAAACCCCGAACTCTTAAACTCTAGCCATATGAGCCCTGGACTAAAGTCCTAGTATATCCCTTAACAGGTCGCCCCTAAACCCCTATACATTTCCTATAGGTCCCCCCAACCGACTTGAGTCCGTAGCTCATATCCCTATACCTTAACATAACCCTATATCCAGGCTCCGCGACTTGCCGGGACGATCCGTCTCTTCGGTCCAGACCAGGCTGGCACCAAAAAGCCGCCCAAAAGAAGGGTTATAGAGGGATTACATTACTTGAGCATACTGCCGTGTATATGTGTAAAAAATGTATATACATATGAGTATACATATAGACGGAGAGAGGTCGTATGTGGATATATAGGCAGAAGGCGGTGCTACAAAGTTCGACTCACGGACATACTTGCAAAAAGATTGGTACATGTACTCGAAACTCGCCCCCGCCCCTCCTCCTAGACTCCTACACTGGCGTCCTAGGGCCTCCTGCGCAGCTTTGACGTATTATCAATTTAAAGCAGGGTAGGTGCGACTCCGCTAGCAGGGGTAAGGAAAATGGGACGTCAGAGGCCTCCGCGACTCCGCAAGACACACGGGAGGCTTCTACATGAAAGAATGGAACAGTAAGTCAAAACTCGTGGAGCGGTGATGCAGCTTGAGATATTACCCCAATGATGGACAATCACATGACAAAGAAACAAAAACATGAAATGGGAGCTAGGGTTATGTAGTTCAAGAACTTTCATTGCCCTGGTATGCTGCACCAGTTGTAAGATGGTGCAGAAGCAAATGGACAAGAACATGCAAGGGGGGGAAGTTCAGGAGTTCAAACACATGATATGGGTATGTAGCAAACAACTTTGCATTTTCTCACTTTTGTAAGTCAAGTTCCTCAGCAGCGACCTAGAAAATGTTCTGTTGGGCTTACAATCTGACAGTCTTTCAGGTTGAAGTGTTTCGGCGAGGGTTTAGGATTTAGGGTTTAGGATTTAGGGTTTAGGGTTTAGAATTTAGGGTTTAGGTTAGGGTTAAGGGTTTAGCGTTCAGGGTTTAGGGTTCAGGGTTCAGGGTTTAGGGTAGGGTGTTGGGGACGAAAGGGGCTTTGGCTTGCAAGATGGGTTAGTGATTTGGGGGGTTTCGCAAAATTAGGGGTACCGTTTTATTGGGTGTACACATTCAGATTACGAAATACATTTGGGGTCCATATTGGGGTTCCCCGATGAATAGAAACTACCATTTATCATGGGTTGCCTCTGCTACTCCCTCGTCTACTATCCCTAAGTTCCCCTTGAACAGCTTCGATTGTGCCAGTGTATCCCTGCAGAAGTTAGACTAAAGCAGGAGGACCTAGGGTAGACAGGGTGAAAGGGTGGTTCAGGAACGGATGAGTTCAGGATGAGGGGTTATGGGCTCAGGAGTTGGGAGTTCAAAGGGGATGGTTTTAAAGGTTCATGTTTTCTCTTTTCTTTTTTTTGCCAATTTGCTTAGGAGCTCATTTAAGGGTATTTATCGATGCGCACATATGGATGCAGATGTATGCAACGTATATATGTATATCTGTATATAGATGATGCTTATCATGTGTTTTGCTGCTTTTCCTCTGCTAGTTAAGGTCAGGAGCATACCTTAGGTGGACCCCCCACCTAGTCATAGTGACTATAAGGGATGATAATGGTGAGTCTGTCAGAGTCCTCTTATCTTCCTATTATGCCACTATTACAGGGTGGGGAGGTCACCTGAAGTATCCCAAACTCACACGGAACTGAAAAGGGACACAGGCCATTTTCTTGGGTACTGCCCCCACTCATTAACAGTTGAACAGTATCATATAGCGCCCTCAATATGACTCCCATTATAGACTGTTAATGGGTGGGGGCAGGACCCTACCATTATCCTTTTCCAACAGGCATATTTCAGGTTCCAGGTTTGTTTTGGGGGAGGGTAGCATCTTGCTTGGTGTGTCATGATGAGGAAACTTCCTCTAACCATACGGCCCCAGATGTTCAGTCAGCAGCCCTGAATCTTGACAACTTGAACTTGACCCAGAGAGTCCCCACTTAACGAAGCAGTAAAACGTGTCGAGCGAACGCAGGTGGGTCAGCTTGCCAAAATCTCTGAGGCCTGCAGGGAATTTGGGGTTTAGGCCGGCCCCCATAAAATCGCAAAGGAAATGCAGACCATGTTGCGCCGTGATTTCTTACCAGCACCTGCTTCCAAGCTTTCATGTTGTCCTTGTAGCGTTTGCTTTTTCACATTGTTCCATTCGCCGGCCAGCTTCCTTACGAGGTATTTTACCCAAAGTAGCCTCTCAAGTGCAGAAGCAAGTCGAATGTATCTTCTGAAAATCGTGGCAAGAGATGAGCCCGGCAGCGGTAACGCATGAAGCGGCACTGATTGAAGCCAGGCCCTGTATGCTTCAAACGGACCGTAAACTTCCCTGCTCCCGCAAATGTAGAGATTGCATTCATTCATCGGAAATCTAGCTACTTTTATGGGCAAATCGGTTTTCAGGTCTTGGTAGCCTGAGGTGCAACTGAAAAGTTGCAGACGTTGACGGCTTCTAGAGAGTTTGCCATAGGCTGTTACACACTTTTGTATTGTTGCCATTTTCAGCCAAAGGTCCTGCACGCCTGCGGTATGACGATTCTCAATCTGTATGTGACCACCGGCTCCTGCGATGTGGAAACCTGCAACGTGGCAGATGTTGGTTTCCTTCTTATGTCAGGTTTTGCTACTTGTCTTGTACCACTGCTGTCTAAAAAATGCTGGCTGCCGTCTAGTCTGCGATTCCTGCGCAGCTTTGCCTCAGAGGTTTACAGATTTTACAAGTGCAGAGGCTCATTTTGCTGGCAAAGTGGCAGAGATGGATTTCACCCATGCAGAGCCTGCAGCAGGCAACAGAGTGAAAAGAGAATGACGCTATGTATATATATATATATTTATAGAGGGGTTGAATAGTGGTTATATAGGGGTAATGGAAAAGAGAATGGAAGCTATTACGGTATAGTAGGGTATATGGGAGGTAAGCTGGAGCAAGACCTATCCATGGGAGTTTCTCAACCTTTTCCTGCCTAATCCCCAGGGGCGCCCCTATCATCTCCTTGCAAGCGCCAACCTTTCTAGGGTCCTCGAAAGAGACTCATCTTGAGGAACTTTCACGTGAAAATTTCTTGAGTACCCCTGCATGATCCTTCACGGTGACCCCACTGTCTCCTTCCAATCCCTGTACATCCTTTCGAAAATATGCTTGATAGAGAGAACCCTACGTAAGTCCACAACTAGCCATATTATCATGTGTCCTTTGACGTTGCCAGGAATGAACCCCTCTGCAAACACATGCATAACCTTGAGAAGCCCCCGCATGATCGCAACCCCCGAAATCCATGCCCAAAATCAGAAATATGCCCCGCAGCCAGAATCCTAGCTCATAAGAATCATTGCCCACGTACTGCTTGATTATTGTGACGGCCTAATCTAATACGTCTCCTCACTTTCAGGTGAGTTTGTCACGCGTGAAGGCGGGCCACTCTCGGCCTCACAACTGCAATTACAGTAGGGAATCTATAAGTCACAAGGTTTGAGGTTTGGGGGCTTTGGGATTTTGGCTGGCGGCTTTCTGGTTTAAGGTGCATGGTTGGAGGTTTAGTGTTGGGTGTTACGATTTAATTTCAAAGGTTGCAGGCCTGGGCTATGGAAGAGGGGGGGAAGTGGATATGGTAGTTTCCCTAAATAGAGGGACCCCAATATAGTCCTCAAATACTATAATCCTTATTATAGGGACCCCCAAAAGGTACCCCTAATTCAGGGAAATCCCCACATGGGTAAGAGGAACAGGTGACAATTGGCGATGTTTGAATTGTTCCCTCGCTCACTCCCTGTGAAGCACCCAAGCTACTGACTTTGGCCATTGATAAAAATGTTCGCTTCTTTGGACTCATCTTCGGACTCAGAATTTACGGTGTTCTTTCTATCTTTCGGGCAGGGTTAGGCTTTATAGGTTCAGGGCTTTTCGAACTTTGGGTGAACGTTTACGCTCTTGGGATTTGTGGGAATAGCAGGCTGTAGGGCTGGCTCTTAAGGCGTGTACACGCAGATTCAAGAATCTCCCATGTGTAGAGGTGGGCGGCGTTAAAACTTTGATTGTTTAATGTGCATGTTGCGGATGCGTCATGGTGGTCATGGTGGTCAATTTCGTAGCTAGGAAGTATTCCCTACCCCACATTCTCTGGCTCGGAGTCATGGATTTGAGCGTGTAGGGCAGTGTAGGATGCAACGAGTGTTTTCTGGTCTTGCGGCTTATGCGCTGGTAGGTTAAGTTACACCCTGAAATCTGGACTTTCAGGGTTTAGGGGCGCAAGCACAGGACGCTTGTGAGTACTTGCATCGCGATGTGAGGCTCGTGATGACTTGGATGTCTGATAGATTTATTGCCTGGCTTGGTGCAATGAACATTCTATCATGCCGCTTCTTCTTTACACGCTTGTGCTAGTGTCGCAGCATAGTGCAGCCAGTGCTGCTGATATCTTCTCCCAACAAATGTGCAAAACTTTTAAAGGGTGGGGTCTACATAGAATTCCATGATAATTTGGCAGAGGTACTTCTCAGAGGCTTAAGGCAGGTTGTCCAATCAAGGAGAATGTCATCACCGTTGCGGCAATCAACAAGGACACGTCTCGTTTCAGGGTTTGAGTGCTCTGGCTTTCTAAAGCTCACTCATGCAATTCCCAGCCATTACCATAGGCTGGGAGACGTGCCATGGAATTGTGCATCAGGGCTTCGTCGTACACACCCAGAAAAGATTGGAGAAGGATTAGAGCCCCAATATGTCAGTTGCAATTGAGAGAAATTGCCATGAGGCTTCTCAGAATGTTATGCAGCAAGCAAACTTGAAAGGCGGTCAGTACTGGAACTGCTAAGTTGTTGCTCATGCAGCTTGATAGCTTTTGAGAAGTGACAGCTTTTGAAAAGCATGCAGCGGCCAGCCCAACTGTTGCACCCCAATTAGGTTTAGTATTCATAGGCTTAGGTCAGGCAAATCTTGACTCCTTGACAGCGACACTAGAAAGCAGAGGCCCGTGGACACCCCAGCCGTTGTTGAAGAGCCACGAGCTCGTGTTGTTTCTGCTGTCACTCTTCCTTATCATCACTTGCCTGAGTGCTCCCGCAGACGCCAGTTCTCGTTCCCCTTTGTTGGTCTTCTCTTTTGTGCATTTACATTATACGAGAAGCGCTATCTCCCTACTACTGCCTTTATTAGATGCCAAGTTTCCCACTTTACCTAGCTCCCATCTTATACCCTGATTCTCAAGACATGAATGCTTTGTTGTGGTCCCCTGTAGACAGGTGGAACATAACAGCTGCTAATGTTTTAACTACATTTGATATTCTCACACTCTTCCCGAGCATGTTCTCTGTTTGAAGTTTGAATCTAGCCAGCCGCGGCTCAGCCGAGAAACGAGTTGAGTAGGGATACTGGGATCATGAAGAATCTGAGAAGGACGTAGAGGGTTCGGGGCTTGGGCCTAATGTGTTGTTATGAAGCGTGCAGGGGCATCTGTGCATACTCTACCTGTTAAACAGCAATGTCGCCAACTCTCAAACTCTATTGTTGAGGGTTTAGGTTGGTGTTGCTTTGGGATAATGGAAAGTAACATGGAAACTAGAATAGTATATTGGGGTTATGTTGACATAATTGAAGTGGAAACTACTCTAGCCGCATCTGAAACCCGCACCACCCAAACGCAAAGCCCTAAACTTCAAGTGTACGGCCCGAAGGAGACTTTTGATGAGGAGGCCTTCCGGAACGAAGTTGAGGATGCCTCGCAGGAGGCACCACACGTCCACTAACAATAACGACAATGAATCGTAATGGTAGTTGTAGTTGTAGCATGTAATACTACAATAATGATACACGGAAGCGATTAGGGTTTTGGGCTCGGGGTTCAGGGCTCAGCGTCGCATACTTGCAGATGTACTGTATTTGTAATTAAGTCTCGTCCAAGCCTGACTTAGGCAATGAACCCGCTCTATGGTACCTGCACCCGAACGCACACAGAACCCCAAACAGGGCTCCATTGCAGAGTACTGTCCTTCTGAAAGGGCTCCATGAGAACTAGGGCAGTGCAAATCCGAAGTGATCTCTTTGCAGGTTGGCTATGCCGTCACCTCAATCATTCTCGCTGCTCGGCTTTATGGGATCTTTTTGGTGTTTTGGTCATGGAGATGTATGGGGATCATAGAAAGGGTTGCATAAGATAATGATTTGCACTTTGGTTTCATGGTTGATGAGGGATCCAATTTCAGAATTGTCCAGATGATTCGATTACTCCAAGTCTGACTCTTGAACAGAACTTAGACATACTACCGTAGTCAACTGAACTCAACTTTAACCCACAAACCCTATTTTTCAACCTTTTCCCATTGTGGTAGCTTCAGTCTAACTTCCTTGACAGCAGCACTATAAACAGCAGGAAGGTGAGAAGCATCGACCACAGCAGCTGGCGCGAACCTGGGCATCAAGATGAAGTTTCAGCGTCATACCTCCAACAAAGCCCTGCAAACTACAGCTTTGTGGGTTATACCCGCGAATTAGGGGACCGTTGCTACTGAAGTGTGTGCAGCGGGGTCACAGTTAGGGCTTTGGAGATAGTTTCCGTAGTTTTCAGGGTTCCTCTGCTTAGACTGCGGATTATGGGGGTGCATATTGGGAAGTATGACTCTAGAGGAAGCTTAACTGTGCAAGATGTAGGCTTGGGTCCTACAATGATGAATGTGATGATGGTCCCAGCAAAAGCCTTCCCTCCAACTGCCCTTCATGGTGGTCGGCGTACAATTAGGGACCCCCTAGCCCCCAGTAGAAGTACTTGGAGGCTCCACATGTGACAAGGACGGAGTATGGAAAGAGCCCTTGCTAGAGCATCCTATTTCGTCATGCAGTTGCGTTGGGCTGACTTTGAAGGATTTCAGGCCCCGAGACCAGGGGAAATGTTGAAAACTGGTGAACTGCCTTGAGTGCCAAAAGTCTTGATACAAAGGATTGCATGGGAATGTGTATGCACAGGAGCAAATGTTAAGGTAGACCTCTTGACAAAGATCTTGTCATTCTGGTGGTATCTCATCACATTCGGATCCTAGAAACTTCCGTGGTCACATGCCGCACGCACTCTGGACCTCAACGGTTAAGACTCATTCACATGATGAAGCGTATTCCGGTGCAAGCCATTCCCCTTTCATGCGAAGCTGACGGCCCCTTCCTTAAAGAACAGAGCACTGCGAGAGTCAATGCTTGTCAGGATACTATTTGCGCCGCAAGTCCTTCATGAGTGAGTGGGCCAAAGGCCACGCAGACCTCTCATGCATCCGATGCGACTCCTAGATGCTGACAAAAAATCTTGCGGTGGATTCGTGTGGTCCTCGGGGGAGTCCTTATAACCTTGTATGTCACATGTAACCTCTAGGGGGTACGCCCTTTTACCGCAGCAGTCCCCATAATGGTCAGGTTCGGGGGTTTGATGCAGAGGGTCATGTGATTTTACGGTGCTGGTAGGGCCTGCAGATGACGTTCAGTGCCTGAGTCTGCTAAGACATTGGGCTACCGAATACCAAAGTGGAGACTGAAGGAGTCAGAAAAGGGTTCGAGTTGGCAATGAAGCCGTATGACACCTTATCGTACCCAGTCATGGACCTGGA